CATTTGGAAAATGAGAGTGGGCAGGATCGATGGGCGGCCCCGGAGGCAGCCGCAGAGGCTGGTGGATCGGCAGGCAGGAGGGCTGGAGAAGACAGAGCCCTGTAATGCTCGCTCCTTCCCTGACACGCTGGGAGTGGTGACAGCTATCATCGGATCCGAGGACCTGGCCTGTTAGTTGTCAGCGAGGGGAGAGCAGAAGACAGCTGTAGAGGCCCATGACAGCCGTGAGGCGCCCCACCCAGGCGGGCCAGAGAAGGCAGGTGTCTGTGGGTGAGCGGGGAAACCAGTGTGTCCCAGCCAGGAGAGCTCACCCCAGGCTCTGGGGAGCCAGGGAGGGATATCCCGCCACTCTGGAAACCCAGGCCCCCTTCCCCTCCAAGGTTTGTTGCTGATCTTACTGTGAGGAAGAGCACGCGTGAGCAAGATGGGGTGCTTTGGAAAGAGGACATGGAAGAAGAAAAAAATCCAAGTTCTCAGTACCCTGACATGGTGCTGCTTCTGAGCAAAGGGCTTCCCTGAGGATTTCATGCGAGCCTGTGTCGTGTCCACGGAAACAAGGTGTGGAAAGGGCCTGTTCCCACCTTGCCCCCAGGCTGGGCTGCTGTCTCTCACCACGAAGAGGCTCAGGTGCTCCCAGGGCCCAGGGATCTGTGGTCCAAGGGTCCGTCTATCTGTCCAAGCAGGAAGACTGTCATGAGTTGAGCAGCGTCCTCCGGAAGTCCTAGGGTGAAGTTCTAACCCCTAGTGTTTTAGAATGAGACTGTGTGTGGGGATAGGGCTTCCTAAAATGTAATTAAGTTACAATGAGGCCAGAAGGTGGGCCCTCTTCCAACCTGCTGGGGTCATTATTATACGAGATTGCGACACAGACACACACAAAGGGACGACTTCGTGAGGACACAGGGAGCACACGGCCATCTACATGCCAAGGAGAGAGTCCTCGGGAGGGGGCCGCCCTGCTGACGCCTTGCTCTGGGGGCTCTGCATTCCAGGACAGGAAGAATTCGTCTCTGTTGCTTCAGCTGCCTGGTCTATAGCCCTGTGCAAGGCAGCCCAGGCTGGGGAATGCACAGAGCCAGGTTCGCAGAGGGGCAAATGCCCTACTCAGCCTGGGGGCCCCAGGTTCAGTGTCTTCCCTCACCACGCAGGCTCCGTGGCTCAGAACTCTCTGCTGGGCACAGGACGCTCACGTGTGACTGGAGAAAAGGTGAGGGCCTGTGGGCCGGGGTGGCATCTCAGTACCCCAAAGATCACTGTCCATTCATGACTCATTCGACCCCAGAATGGGCAGGATGTGCTTATGTGTGTACATGCCTGTGTGTACACATGTGCACGCATCTGTGTGTATTGTTGGGGTGACTGAGCTGAATGAGGCCCAGCACCTCCCAGCCTCAGGAGTCTCCCAGAGCGGGGTGCAGAGGCGGCAGGACCTGGCAGCTGAACTATTCTGCCGTGATGAAAATGGATGAGGCTCAGTGGCGCTAGCCTGGAACGATGGCCACCACAGATTATTACGTGATGGCGTGATGGGGTCTTAGGGAGCAGAGGCAGCGGAATGCCATTTTGGCTAAAAAAGAAAAACAGCAAAAAATTATAGATATAAATTATACACACACACACACACACACGTGTATATATTTCCCTACATTTGTCTGAGGTTGAAGGAAGTAATACCACAAGCTAGGTGCTGCTTCATCACCGTTGGTGACCTTGACAGGGCCAGAGGGAAAGGAGATTTGATTGTTTCTGCAGTGGCGACCGCATTCTTGGAATTCTTAAGAGTGCAATGACTTTCATCCTAGAGAACCTAGTGCAGGAGAGGGGAGAACAGACCAGAGCTGACCGGGAGCCACGGTGAGAGACAGAGGGCTGGGGTAGGGGAACACCCGCTCCCCGTTAGGACTGGGGCTCCCTGGACAGGGGGCACTGCTAGGTTAGGATCTGGGAGGGGAGGCCCATGCACCCCTTCTGTGGTTCTGGAGAGGTCAGCAGGGGAGGAGTGAGGTTGGGGACAGGGACGGGGGAGGGGGAAAAGCTGGCCTGGGAGCTCCCCTCCTGGGCGGTGAGGCGTGTTTGACTCCCGGCCTGGTCAGTGAGGGGTGTCTGACTCCCGGCCTGGGCGGTGAGGGGTGTCTGAGAGCACTCTCTGTGGGGCTCTGTGGATGGCGGGCCAGGCATAGACCTTGTCGGTTCCAGGTAGGTTGTGGCCCCCAGATCCCAGGACCCTGCTGCTAGGCACAGCTGTCAGCTGACTGCAAGGAAGGCCAAGGGTGAGCAGGGAAGGCGGCTCCGCACGCAGGGCCAGAGCCTGCCCACCAGCACAGAGTTCCGTGGCCATGGAGCATCCCGCCCAGAGGCTGTCCCCGCCCACACGGAGCCATCCAACCAACTCTCCCTGCAGGGGGTGACGGAGATGGAGGCTCAGCCACGGATGGCAGCGCCCTGCAAACCAATCTACCTCCACCCCCACTGAAGCCTTCCTCATGACACCCCCAAGCCTCCCACCCTCAGGTCTAGCCATCTACCCTAGGCCTCCCCCTCCTCCCTGCTTCCCTAGGCCTCCCCCTCCTCACCTCCTCCTCAGGCCTCCCCCTCCTCCCCTCCTCCCTAGGCCTCCCCTCCAGTTCTCCGGTGCCCTCGGGAATGACCATTCTTGGTAGAGCCTTCCTTGGTGGCCCAAGGTGACCTGGCCCTACGTGCTCCAGCCGCAGTCTGGCCCTCACTCTGCCTGTGACCTGGCTCCACTGCCGAGTCAGAAGGGAATCACTGGCTTGTTCCTTCTCTGTGTCAGGAAACCCTGGCAAAGCCCCAGCTGAAAGCTGGCTTGGCATTCGGTGGTGGGTCTGGAATCACTGGAACTGTTTCCCCTGCTTTACAGCTGAGGCCAGGGAGGCCTCACAGCTCCCGTGCAGGTTGCCTGAGGCTCCAGGAATCTCTGCTGAGGAGGGGCTGGTGCAGTCCAGCCGGGTAGCAGGTATGGGACAGCTGGGAGCATGGCTTCGACATTGGGCTGCCTCTGCCACCACCAAGACCTGGGGTCTGGGCAAGTCCCTTCTCCACTCCAGACCTCGGTTTCCCCATCTGTAGATGCAAGGTGGTTAGATGGGTGCTCTGGGACCCTGCTGTGGGCAGATCACGCAGAGCAGGCTGTTTCAGTCTCAATGCTATTGACACTTGGAGTCAGATCCTTCCTTGCACAGGGGCTGTCCTGTGCCCTGTCAGATGCTGAGCTGCACACCTGGCCTCCCTCAACGAGATGCCAGGGCCCCCTCCCTCCAGCTGCACAACCATAAATGCTTCCAGACGTCACCACATGTCCCTGGGGGCAGAACCACCCTGGTGGAGACTCCAGCCCCAAAGACGCTCTTGTTCTTGAGCTAGGGTCCAAGGGTGAGTCTCAGGATCCCTGAGGCACCCTGGATCTATAGACAAAATGGTGTGCACATATATGCACTTTTCTGGGGAGAAATCCACAGAGGTCACGGTGTCTAAAGGGAATGTGTGCACCCCAAGATTAGAATCCCCATGGCTGTTGTGCTTGCGGGATGCAGCCCACGAGGAGAACCCCCACCGTCCTTACATAGAGGAGTCAGCCAAGGTCTTTGTCTCCCGGCACGAGGCTGAGCTCTGCCCCTGGCCTGGGTCACATTTCCTGACCCTGAAGATCTCCTGTCTTCTCACTGCCTCTCCTATCCCTCATTCTCATTAGAAAATCTCTTCCACAAATTGCCCCTTTATCTGAAGTATTCCTATCGGGTTTCTAAACCCCGCTGATGGAACAGGGCTATTACATATGCGATCGCCTGCATTTATTTACATATCAGCAGCAAAAGGGGGCCTGATTTTTCATCTGGGTGACACAGCTGCGCTTGTAAAAAGGGCGTCTATTAAGAAGGCCGTTGCTTGGTACAAGCTGCAGAGTCTAATTGGCTTCTCAGGGACTTTTTTTTATTATTATTATTTGCTCGGGGAACTGCTCATTTGAGCAAACGATATTAAATGACTATTGTCTCCGTCTTTAAGGAATTACCAGCTGAAAAACAATGCGGAGATGTCAGCCATGGCGTGACAAAGGCTTCTGCCAACACGTCTGCCCGTGGACCCAGGCCTGTCACTTTTCCGATCGGTAATAAGCTGGTTTCAATGGTGATGCCCTCTAACTCCGGTTCCACCGAACCTGCAATTAACTGGAATAGATTTTCCTTCCCCTTTTACAACTACTATAAGAAAACAGTCGAATTACATGCAAATACAATGCTCTTAGGAATGTCTGTTTAAACTGTGTAAGATTTGAGCATCTATTGAATGAAAGGAACAACCAGTATTAGGGGAAGGGTGCAGCAGGGGAAGGCCCTCCAACTCCGTCTGAGGCTCTGAGGAGCTCTGGGGCCTGCAGGACACCAGTTCTTCCAGTTGGTTTCTGGTTCCCTGCAGTGGGGTTCCCCAGGGCCCCTTCCAGCCCTACTGAAGCAGAATGTCTGAAAGTGAGGCCTGCAGGGCTGAAGAGTTAAAATTCCGATGCACCCAAATGCTCTGCACTTCAGTTTTTACGCCTGTAAAG